TTTCTTCTTCGTGTGTGGACGATAGGAAATCCTGAAGTTCCTCAAGGTCAGGCAGCCTCAAAGGATTAACTTAACGTGTATGGCCGCCTAATATTATTACGTACAAAAAAGGATACTTTATCATCGGTCGGCAATGAAAACCTCGTACCTTCAATATTTGCTCAAATTTGAATTAAGGCATTAGTGGATAACGAAACAAGTTTTCTGTGATCTGTGAAACTTTCGTAGGTCCCGAGTTAAACCTAGTTCAATACATAAATAAAAATAATAATAATCGACATAGGGTAATAACGGACTTCTGAAGAAAGTTTAATGTTTCTCCAGAAAAGTTTTGTTAGGAGTTACGAGATTTCGATCGTCAACCGACGATATACAGTAGTGTCAGCAACTATGCCTATATCTAACTTACTGGTGAAACGTGATACAGGATCCTTTTTTATACCTTCCCGTATAATTAACTGCAGGGCAACTCGGTGGCATTCTTGTTATGCCTCTGTGACAATTCCCGCACACTCGAGACTAAATAAATAGTAATTACGCTAGAAATATCTACCATACGTCGGTACACAACAATATGTCCACAGCATACGCACTTTTTACCTTAGACAAATCCAATGGTTTCCAATTAGTGGTACGTGTACACCTGGGGGTACGCGCGGCAATCTAAAATCGGTCGATTTAAAATTTAAATGCATGAGATGAAGCAATGAAAAAAAAATAATGGGTGGACCATCAAAAATTCGGCAATTTATAACATGATGTCGAATGCACAAATTTATTTATTTATAACTAAAAATATTCTCGAAATTTCATCAAAAAAATGCATTTGTGACAATACCTAAATGAAATTCTTGCGCAAGAAACAAAAATTGTACAATTAACACAAACTGTGTTAATTGTACAATTTTTGATGATAATGATAATTGTACAATTAACATGATGATAATGATAATTGTACAATTAACACAAACTGTGTTAATTGTACAATTATCATTATCATCATGTCAGCGAAGAGGCAATAAAATATTTACTACCATATTACACAATATACCTCTGCGAGAGTGGATTTTCGGCCATGACGAACATGAAAACTAAACATCGTCACCGACTTCAACTCAAAGATAACTCGAGACTGAAGCTGACCAAAAAGCAACCAGATTTTACGAAGTTGTGCAAAGAAAATCATGCACATTTGTCACATTAAAATTAAATAATTTTGTTATTTTCATTATTATTAGAATTGTATTTTAAGGGTAAGAAATGTAAAGAAACTTGTTCATATTTATCACTAGCTGTCTACCCACAGCTTCGCCCGCATTATATCGAGTTTTCTCGTGGGAGTAAGATATTTTCTCGCAGTAAACTGTAGTCCATGTCCATCTTCAACATGTAAGCTATCTCTGTGCCAAATTTTATTAAAACCTGTTCAGCGGTTTAGACGTGAAAAGGTGACAGACAGGCAGAATTACCTTCGAATTTATAATATTAGTATGGATTAATATGAATTTCTGCTATAAGGGGTACACAAGTTTGAGCTCTTTCTTAAAATGGTACGCAGGAAAAACTAATTGGGAACCACTGCGGCTTAGACTGTCATGGCGGCGCCTACTTTCTTTTGCTTCAGACGGCGGCGCCTTTTTTAACGTTAACTTTTATCCAATTCGGGGTCTAGTAGTTATGTATAGTCAGTGGTGATATTCGAAATATTTAAAAAAGGGTTCGCTAACAAAATTTTTTCTTAACAATTTTTTTTTCGCTCAAATGGTGCATTAGCAACATTAGCGCAAAAACTGACCTTAAGATATCCATATAAATAAAAAAGATGTGTTCGCAAAATTAAGTCAGTTAAAATTTAACATTGTTTATGCAGGAACTATATCTTTTTTATAAATAATAAAAAAGTGTTCAAAACGGTTTATTTTGTACGTATTTTAATATTTTTCATTCAAAATATTTTATAAACATAAAAATTGGCTTTTTTTTTAATCAGAAAAAGTCGTAGGGAAAGCAGTTAAACAAGAACAACTTTTCTAAATCATTTATTTTATCGTTAGGTATTATTATAATAGACAGATGTCATCGTCTCTCGAAATACAATATCTTTCTTATTTCGCTGTTGATAGCCCGACACGTGTTCCGCAGCCATCTTGTATTTTCTCACGCCCGTGGGATTGTGGGATAGTGCTGTGCGATGCATCGATGTGACATCGACACATCGATGTTTTTGTTCGTCGGTGCATCGACTTTCCGATGTTTTTGAAACATCGATCCTGAATCGATGTTTGCAATATGTGAATTTTGATTCATCGATGCATGCAGTTCATTCTTTGTTCCTAATGTTACCACCTGTTCGGTTTTCACCCGGACAGTCCGGGAATTTCGTAGAAATTGCGATGAAACAAAGTTCTCGCAAATATGTTTACAAATTTACACTATTTTAACAGTGAACGAACTCACACTCATTGAAACTCATCCGCAACTCTGCCATGTTAGTCTGTTTACGCCGACTTGTGGCGCGCAACCTGTAGACTTTGAGGCCGGATACCAACGGTGAAGGTGGCAGCCTACCGCTCTGGGGGACCCGGGATCGAATCCGGACGGGTCAAGGAATCCCCAGGAATTTTTCGGAGGTGGTCCGTTCGGATATGTCGGATATGTACACGTATCAAATAGAGCTAAGTTATCTGTACCTGTTCTTTCTTAATTTAAGTTACTTACGTTACTCCTACGCAAGTCCCTAGTCCCTAACTGTAACTGATTTAGAACCGGCATGCACGTTATTCTTCGCATTGTAAAATGACATTGCGCATGCGTCAGGAACTTCTGTTCGAACAAACCCGGGTTTTTTTTTTTTTTTTTTTAATTGTTTGAGTTTATCTTTATTGAACATCGATGTTCCAATGGGAATCGATCAAACATCGATGTGAAATCCGACATCGAAATTTAGCATCGATGCTTAGGCAAACATCGATGTTTCACATTGATGTTAAAATTATAGACATCGCACAGCACTGTTGTGGGATCTCTCTTATGACTGGATCTAGTTTCAAGAACTCTCTGAACCTCGTTTTAATCGAGATTGAAACGATCGATGGAGGTTGCACTAGGCCAGTGTTTCTCAACGTCTAACGAATCGTCACCCCCTTTAATGTAGTATCGCCCCTTCAATAAAACCGTTACGTAGTATCGTCCCCTTTCACTTCAAAATTCCGATGCCGAGGGCCAAGACTAGCGCCAAATTCGTACTGCATTGAATAGACTAGTGACTAGTATAATGTTATTTGTTTAATTATTATACGATATAACGAATAAAATATCTAATTATTCTTAATATAATGTTTTACTATATCGCTCAGAAAATTGTTTTTCGCTCCCCAAATATAAATACTAATCGCCCCCTCAACATGGAAAAACGCCCACATGGGGACGATATCGCCCCGTTGAGAAACACTGCACTAGGCGAACAGGGTATAAGGTTCTAGTTTAGTAGTGTTACAGAGAATAATACATATATTTTAATATATTTTTTAAAAGAAACAAAACCACTGAGAAATGTTACGTGTGTTTAACAACGGGTTCGGCAGAACCTGTGCGAACCCGCTGAATATCGCCACTGTGTATACCGTGTTTCCCCGAAAATAAGACCTAGCACAGGTTTTGCTGAATTGCGAAATATAAGACTTCCCCTGAAAGTAAGACCTAGCGAAATTTTTTTTAGTCGTAACGGTCATCGACCGATGGTTGAAAGTGGCCGTTGGCTTTTTGAAAGTACAGCCACTGATTGGTCAGCAGACAATTACGCCACACGGCATGATTTGCATAAGACTATGGCTTGGGAATCACAGATTTGCATAACGTTACGGCTGGTGATGGCTAATTGGTCGGCCGGGAATCACGCCACATGACATTTGCATAGTGCTACGGTTCAGTAAGCACTAATTGGTCATCGAGTCCGATGTTGACGCTATAAAAAGGCGACAGTTCGACACACCGGATATACGTCACTCTCGTCTAAGTTCGACTTGGGAATTTTTTTGTTCAATAATAAATGTGAATTCTTCTTCCTGGAAAAAATAAGACCTCCCCTGAAAATAAGACCTAGCGCATTTTTCAGAGCAAAAATTAATATAAGACACTGTCTTATTTTCGGGGAAACACGGTAGTTGATAGGGTTTTCTCACCTTTCCTTATTACACTGTGGTTTTTAAACGAACTATTCCTCATACTTTTTGATCATTGTAGTAAATTTTAAAAAAATTCTACAATAAAATAAGTAACATCAAATATATAAATGAATGATTTAATATATATTTATACACAGTGAAATAAAATAGAAAAAAATAAGCGTAATAATTATGAATTACTGAATCGGTAAAAATGTAAATGGTAAATGGTGCACTTTCCATCCATTCCGTTGCAGATGGGAAAGGTTGAAATTTATAAAAGTAAAATGAAAGACCGTTGCTAAATACTAGGGATGCTAATACGCTACCAACAGCATGGAAATATATAATAGAAAAAAGAATGGGGCTTAAAAACCCTTAAATCGTGTTTCTTTCTAGTTAGCATTGTTTTTATGTTTTATTTGTTTGTTTATTTATTTAATATACACACTTCTTTCAATTTATTTTAAAGTTAAATTATTTTTTTTTTAATTTTAAATATGTAAAATATTCGAAAACGGTACGTTCCATTTTGGAACATTTATAATATTAAACCTGACGATGGCCTATATTAGATAAGTTGAAAACGTTTGTAAAAATAAAAGAATTTTAAGCTCAGCAAAATTAAGTGTTGGTGAAACTGAAGTGATAACCAATTTTATTTCCCACTTTTTTCGCAGTAATTTATCTTTTCGAAATGTGTGCATATGTAATGAGTTTGGTGAACCTTTACACTTACATCCAAATACACAGCAATATTTATTATTTACCATTGTAGGTTGAACACTTTCTAATTCTAACAGATCACAGACTTTATACCCATAGCAGCCGCCATTATGTAGTTCGCGGTAATACCGTTAGGTGTCAGATCTATCGTTGAACAAGCGAATTGACCTTAATAACTGTTGTTATTATGTGATGTTTTTAATGTTCGTTTATAATTTGTGATTAAGTTAAACTATGTTTCGTTTTATATTGAATAAAACTGATGTGCTGGTAAGTTCCCTGACAATTGTTAACGAAAAATATATTTGTTATAAATTCAAATTTTGGATTAATCGGATTAGTGTGTGTTCATTTGTGTACATATTCATTACTAGTGTTGCCACTTGGCAGGTTTTTAAATTCATGTACCGGATTGATTATTAATTTGTTCGGTTTTCGTCGAAATTATGATAAAACAAAATAAATTTATAAAAATATTTGCTAGTATTTAATTTTAACAGTTAAACACTTTAACTTCACACCTCCACCCAAACTTATCCTCATTTTATCCCTAGGCTAAGAGTGACAGAATATGTACTTTTAAAATTCTAACTTGCAAATATCTCTGGCAAATATTAGGTGTGTTCCAACACAAGTCCCTAACTAGTCTAAAACTGTCATGTGCATTATTCAGTTCTTAGCTGTAAAATGACATTGTGTATGCCTCATTCAAACCGGTCAGGGACTTGTGTTGGAACAAACCTATTGTCCAGGTCAGCAATTTTAAAAAGGTAGCAACTAGTGTTTCTCCGATGGATCCCAAGATCCCGGCTGTTTTTTAACCAGGAAATCTCACAAATTTCAATCAAAACTTTTTCCAAAACTTCAGACTATGAGGCGTTAAATATAATTAAAAATAATTTATTCTTGCGAGCGCTTTCGACGTAAATATTCGATGTTCGATTTTCTATTGCCTGAGGACGACGTGCATATTTACGTCGAAAGCGCTCGCAAGAATAAATTATTTTTAATTATATTTAACGCCTCATAGTCTGAAGTTTTGGAAAAAGTTTTGATTGAAATTTGTGAGATTTCCTGGTTAAAAAACAGCCGGGATCTTGGGATCCATCGGAGAAACACTAGTTGCTACCTTTTTAAAATTGCTGACCTGGACAATAGGTTTGTTCCAACACAAGTCCCTGACCGGTTTGAATGAGGCATACACAATGTCATTTTACAGCTAAGAACTGAATAATGCACATGACAGTTTTAGACTAGTTAGGGACTTGTGTTGGAACACACCTAATATTTGCCAGAGATATTTGCAAGTTAGAATTTTAAAAGTACATATTCTGTCACTCTTAGCCTAGGGATAAAATGAGGATAAGTTTGGGTGGAGGTGTGAAGTTAAAGTGTTTAACTGTTAAAATTAAATACTAGCAAATATTTTTATAAATTTATTTTGTTTTATCATAATTTCGACGAAAACCGAACAAATTAATAATCAATCCGGTACATGAATTTAAAAACCTGCCAAGTGGCAACACTAGTAATGAATATGTACACAAATGAACACACACTAATCCGATTAATCCAAAATTTGAATTTATAACAAATATATTTTTCGTTAACAATTGTCAGGGAACTTACCAGCACATCAGTTTTATTCAATATAAAACGAAACATAGTTTAACTTAATCACAAATTATAAACGAACATTAAAAACATCACATAATAACAACAGTTATTAAGGTCAATTCGCTTGTTCAACGATAGATCTGACACCTAACGGTATTACCGCGAACTACATAATGGCGGCTGCTATGGGTATAAAGTCTGTGATCTGTTAGAATTAGAAAGTGTTCAACCTACAATGGTAAATAATAAATATTGCTGTGTATTTGGATGTAAGTGTAAAGGTTCACCAAACTCATTACATATGCACACATTTCGAAAAGATAAATTACTGCGAAAAAAGTGGGAAATAAAATTGGTTATCACTTCAGTTTCACCAACACTTAATTTTGCTGAGCTTAAAATTCTTTTATTTTTACAAACGTTTTCAACTTATCTAATATAGGCCATCGTCAGGTTTAATATTATAAATGTTCCAAAATGGAACGTACCGTTTTCGAATATTTTACATATTTAAAATTAAAAAAAAAATAATTTAACTTTAAAATAAATTGAAAGAAGTGTGTATATTAAATAAATAAACAAACAAATAAAACATAAAAACAATGCTAACTAGAAAGAAACACGATTNTTTAGTAAATGTTTTATTACTTACTAATTACTTGATGGTTGTTAATGGTGGTTATGAAAATAAATTTTATGAAATCTTATAAGATAGCAAGATGCAACAATTTATGGCCTATTAAACAGAAATCATGCTTTCTAACCAAGACTTAAAAAAAAATCTAATAATGTAATTTTAAATGCTTTAAAACAATCCATCTGGAAACTTGTTGATTGCATCTTGTATCTTAGAAAGAAGATAGGTGTATTTAGTTATTTGATTAATTCTTATTTAAAAATATTAGTTATTACATTTATTTAAAAGTTTGCTACAAAGATAAAAATAAAATTAGTACAGTTCTGTTAAAAAGAAACATAATTTTATTGCTCTATAACAACAGTGGGCAGCCTACAGCTCTTGGGCCAACTCTAGCTCCCAAATATATGCTATCTAGCCTGCAGTATAATATATAATTGTATAAGTAAGTTTATTGTAACTTTTAATTATATACCAATTCTCTATGTATTGCCTGATGTATTATTTTTTGTATATGTCCTCCCCTTGAACTGTTTTCATTGTTTTTACAATCAAGGGGTGCCATTTAAAAAGATAGATTATCCACACTGCTTTGCAAGTATAATATGAAGATAGTAAACATTCAAAGGAAAAGAAAACTTTATTTTTCAACTATTGAATTTTTTCATTTCTCTTACTACTTTCATATGTATATCAGAGTTTTTAAATAGAAATATACTAATTTTATTTTTAAGCAGTTTTTTGTAATACTATTTGATAAGCAGACATAATTTTTATTTTTTTTAATCATTTATAATAATTAATGTATCTTTTAATTGTAGCTATTATTTGTTGCTTGACAATAAAATCTTTTATGATTTTTACAAATCTGTTCCAAATCAAAGACAATCTTATACTTGAATTTAATAAACTTAGTTGTATACATTAAATATTATGTGACTCATTCTATCTATGATAGTAATAAAACATTAAATTTCTTGATTTATTAAGAATTTTAATTTTTAATTTTAGTTCTGCAGAGGAATGGCTTTGTATTTGCTTCAAAATAAACCTTTTCAAATTGCTGTACTGAATCATAGATGTTATTCTGATGATAAAACATCCACCAAAAAATATGATGAAAGAGAAAATTCTATTTTATATACAATAACATCAGTATTTTCATTAAGTGTTGATTCATTATCTTTTCTACATCAGTTGCAAAATTTGAATATGGCTAAGATCAAAGAATGGAGAAGAAAACATTTGAGAAAGAAAGAAATTGAAGATCAAACGTATTTAATAAATTTTTATATACTAATATAATTTTTAATATATTAATATTAATATCATTATTCTATTGATATTTATATTTTTTAAATGTATAATTTGTAAAGAAAAGTTATTTTAAAAATATAAATGACATTCATTAACAAAAAATAAACTTAAATATACTTTTCTTTCATTAGCTTAATATTTTTAAGAATAATAAGATACTGTTTGTGTTTATGAGGGATGCCTAATAAATAATGCAATGCAATTTTTTTTAACTAAAGTTTAATTGGAAAAAAGAATATTTTGTTTGCAATATTACTCAAGTTTTCCATATTTATTTATATAATTTCAACATTTGCTATTAGGTGGCAACAGTACCATTAAGTTTCAAAATGGCATCTGTAAATGAGGTGCATTCAAAACAGGGTAGTGATTAAATTTCTTTTGACAGAAAATGAGACCATCACAAAATTCATAGATTCTTAACCCTGGGGTAGTGCAGTGGGGTGTTTCGCCACCCCCAACGTTTTAAAAGTTGCACTATTCATAGATTTCGCAAGAGATATTTGTATCCTCTTCAGTAGCTTCATGATTTTATGTATAGAGCATGCTCAGATATTACTACGATGCTGCAGAAATTCCAGTAAGAGAAAAACGACAGTTCTCAGTGGGGTGTCCAAACACCCCACAGTATTAATTACATTTTTTTTAAATATTTTACAAATATTTATTTAGTTTTTTTATTTTAAAAATAACTATAATGTGACCACTTTTATTATTTATAATATAGATATAATAATCAATGTGAATAAAAATAATTTAAGTTTATTTTAATTCAAAATGGCTGACTTTCATAAACACATTGAGAAAATACCAAACATAGCAAGTTGCTTGTCATTTGTACTGAGTGCCAAAGTACAATGTCAGCTATTGAATCAGAGTGACAAAAATGCTTAAAAAACAATTTAGATTTTTACTATTGGTTTAATAATAAGATCTAATGTAATGAGTTTTGATAAATGTTGTTTTTTATTTTCGTGGATTTATGTACTAATATAATATGTAATCATACCTGAATATAATCATATGTATAATGACACATGCCTTTACCAAATAAATGAGTAAATCTTTATGAATTTTTACTTACATGGTTTATGGACCCAAAAAAATGTCGGGGTGGACAAACGCCCCACTGCACTAATGCCGGAAAAAAACTCAGTGCACTAACGCAGGGTTAAGAAGCATCTATGAAGAAATGGCAATGGATAAAAGCACTATCAGTTGTTTGGCAAACTAACATTTGTCTTCAGAGCAAGGTCAAGGTTATCTGTCTGATCTCCTTTACTCAGACTGGCGAACAACAACTTTGGTGTCTGTAATAATGAAATGTGCCAATACCCTTATTCAGAACAATCGCAAATCACAACCAGAGAACTTGCTGCTTGATTTAATATTGTAAGCATAACGTCAACACAATTACTCATTAGTTAGAGCAGTAATTCCCAAACTTTTTCGAGCCACTTCTACCCTTGGTTCCATAAACTTATACCCCTAACCCATTTTCCCTTATGTGAGAAAGGCTTGGAAACATTCTTAGAAAAATTTTTCTATGAACCTCACACTTTGTGTCCTTACCGTACATTGTTTTCAACATCTGGAAACCATTAAATACAATCTTTCTTCTCACCCATTTTAACAGAGGAAAGAGAAAGATTGTTAGTGACCCGTTCCTTGCCTATGGTTACCTTCAGCACCTGCCAACCACTTGCTTTTTTACACCCCCTTAGATTTACTCACTGTCCACAGAGGCAGTAGCACCACTTTGGGAAACAATGAGTTACAGTATTCAAAGCTGTATGCTTGATGGATCCCTTTAAGCTTAACTGACAACTATAAAGAATAGTTTTTTATGAGTTGTTTGCTCATTATGAGAACAGTGGCAATGAAACATAGATTCATCAATATTGTCATGGATGATGAAACATGGATTCATTATTTCAAGCTGGAGATAAAAAGACATTACACAAAAGTGTCCTTGTTTCAAAAGTTTAATTTCAAGTGCCATTATCTTGCCAGCTGAGGTACCCTTAGCTGGAAGATAATGGCATATATGGTAATTTTGATATTTTCTCCCAGCTTGCAATTGTGCATCCAAAGCATGGTTATTGCATGTTTTTCCCACATAAGTTATTTGAAGTGGTCATTCTACATGACCATTTCATCACATGGCCAATATACAGTCCAGATCTCATATCTGTAGACTCCTTTTATGGATATCTTAAGGAAAAAGACTCATCTCTACCTTCAAAATTAAGACTTTTGCTATTTTATAATAATGAAAAATTTATAAAGTTTTTATAACAAAATTTCATAACAGATGGTGCCACATACAATTGTATTACAGTATTAATCTAGATAAATAACTAAAAATGTTATTTTTAAAATAAAATCTCATAAAAGCCAGTAAAGTTATGCAACTCATTCCTAAATTATTTTAAATTAAAATTTGTTTGTTCTTTTATATTGTGATATTTTAATCACATATTTATAATATCCTTATTGGAGATCTCTCAATATTGATATATTAGAATATCAATATTGTTGGGAAATAAGAGGTTAATTTCTAGTGAATATTTACAATATTCTCTAGAAACTATTTTTACAACTTTTCTTTGTATGATATTTATATTAGCATTGTATATGATGTTCTTAGTAATTGAAAATAACATTAATGAATTGCACATTTTTATGTTATAACAGAGAATGAAGATTTTGTTTATTATGTAAATTAAACAAAATTATTTAAATTTTGTTTAATAGAAAATAAAACCAATTTGTGTTTTTTTTAATAGATTAAAGTTAAAATAAATTTATTTGTTTTATATAAATTAATTTTTAAATTAAATATTTAGTAATTTTAAAAATATCATTTTATAGCTTTATACCAGAAAGATTTCAAATACTTGGTTCTGATCTTGCTGCAGCACATTTTATTGTACATCGAGGAGGGTCAGTGAGATTTAAAGATCAGAAAAATTGGATTAGAAAAGACAAAAATGGAAATTATTTTCTCCCTTCTAAATTTGTTTCTAACTTATATTTAGAAGAAATTGATGCTTCTGGAACAGGATTAATATATGAAGGTTTCAGCAATTTAGGTAATTATTGTAATTTTAATAGTGTAGTATTTTAAAAATCAAAATTATTTTATAGATTCCTAGTTTTGTATGTATTTATAAAATTGATTAATATTTTGAAACTTATGAATAGATGTAACTCAGTCTATATAGTATAAGTTATTCTAATAGTTTATTGGAAAAATTTAGTTTATTCTATATATCAAATTAACACAAAATACACAACAAAAAAACCTTAGTCCTTCCACTAACAACATTTTAATGAAATACAAACAACTAGGTCTGCATCAGATTTAAAAATTCAAGTTTTATATCAAATGGAATGACTGCAGAATTCAAATTTAAATTGATAAATTCGAAAAGCTAATAAATATGATTGAACCAGTCAGGTGCAGAAGTGTGAATGGGCAGGAATAGGGTGTTAAGATCAGATCAAAGTGCACTTCCACAAGCATGAAATTTATTTTTCATCTTTATGATTAATGCAGCTGCCTGACTGGCCTGCTTTAAAGATCTCCAAGACCTCTGAATCTCTAATATGGTTATTATCCCAGGAATTATGCTGTCATAATAACCATATTAGAGATTTAGAGGTCCATATTAACCTTGCCTGGTCAAGTCCAGCCTCAGTATTGTCAAAAATCTATAGAGAGGTTTCATGTCAACATCACAAGTGACGTCATGAGCATGCGCAATCGTCCAGCGCCATCTTTGTGACTTGTTTACGCTTTGTGTGTGTCCACATGCGCTTTAACTGGAGTTCTTGTATTGTTTTTTTTTCGTCACGAATATCACTATGGTTATTTGTTGTGTAATTGGGTGTAATGTTAGTTCACTCAAGAACAAAGGAACATCATTTTTTAAAATTCCTGGCATTATTTGTCATCAAGTATCCCAAACTGAGGAGCTTTCACAACGAAGACAATCTGCATGGCTCTCGAGAATTAACTGGAAAAATTTCAATACAGATAAAGTGAATATCAATACAAGAGTTTGTCACAAACATTTTATTTCAGGTAAGCAATAAATCAAATTACTAGTTATCGATAAATTAAATAAACTTTTACATGAGTATCATAGTGTCTGCTTGTAATAAATATACAGTAGAGTTAATATTGAAATGTTAAACAAAGATAATCACTTAGCAGATGAAGAATTAGAAGTATATTTTGAACCAATTTCCTTCCAGTCTAATTTACATAAATAAATGTGTATTTTTTAAGATATAAACCAATAATTTCCATTTTTCATTTACAAATAGTTAAGTTAGTTTATTTTGGTGAGCAACATTAACATTTGTTTAAGATGCTACTTTTTACATTGCATTTTTATATTAGTAACAAATAATTATTACATAGTACATGTAATGTTCAACTTGTTCCTGACAAATTCTTATTATTTATATATAACATACCATAATGATAAGTTATTTTAATATTATGTGAAATTACTAACATTAAACACAGTATATTAATAATAATAAAAATAATTTAATATTAAATTGTCATAATATATTATTTAAAAATTATTTTCATTCCAAAGGAAAACCTTCCTCATTGTATGATGAGTCATCACCAGACTGGGTGCCAACATTATACATGGGGTATGAGAGTGACCACAACTTAACTGCAAATCAGGAGCGTTATGAAAGAGCACGTAATCGCAAGATACAACGAGTGGCCTTAGAAGCTGAAACTCCTAAGGCAGCTGAAGCTTGCACCCAACCTCCTACTGTTAAAGATGCAGAGATCTCAACAACTGCAGAAATGGAAGAAGCAGAGCCTTTAAAATCTAATGCATGGGTACAAACTACATCTGTAGTTGAAACGTCACTTGTCAGACTGAATTTAAAGCTAAAGATATATAAAGCTTGCAACTTGAGTGTGCAAACTTGAAAACTGAAGTATTATTATTAAGAAAAACATATGTTCTTAATGAAGAGTTTTTTGAGGGTGATGACAACAAGGTTTGTTTTTTTTACTGGACTGAGCAATTTTAAATTGCTATCATTGATACTGAACCTTTGTCGTAAACAGATTTATCATTCAAATTCCAGAAAATTAACTCCTTTTCAAGAGATGATAGTATGTTTGATGAGACTTCACTTAAATTTAAGTTTGGAAGATTTGGCTTACAGATTTAATATTTCAAAAACGACAATACAGGATTTGTATGCCAAATCTTTGACAAGTGGCTGCACATTTTATACATCAGGTTAAGCAGATTGATTGTTTGGCCTGAGAGAGATGTGCTGCAAAAAACTATGCCCAAAGAATTTTAAAAAACTATTGGCAATAAGATTGCAGTAATAATTGACTGTTTTGAGCTTTTTATTGAACGGCCTTCGTCATTAGATGCTCGCTATTTGACATGGTCCCAGTATAAGCACCATAACACAGTAAAGTCTTTAATAGGCATTACTCCTCAAGGATCTGTGTCTTTTATATCAGAACCTTGGGGAGGAAGGGTTAGTGACAAACACCTAACCGAACATTCTGGATTGCTTAAATATTTACTGCCTGGGGATTTAGTGCTAGCAGACAGAGGTTTTAACATTACAGATAGTATTGGAATTACTGGAGCACAGCTAGCAGTTCCTGCATTTACCAGAGGTAAACAACAACTCTCTGCATTGGAAGTAGCAGAAAGCAGAAAGATGTCTCATTTGAGAATCCATGTGGAGCGAGTAATCGGTCGCATTAAAAATAATTTTAAAATTCTAGAGTCAACATTGCCAATTGACACTAAAGCATGTGACACTAAAGGGGCATGACAATGTCACGTCAATAGAAAAGATTGTACATGTTAGTTGTGCTTTAATAAATTTATGTAATAGTGTTGTGCCATTTGAATAAAATCAAGTTTACACTGTGTAATGTTTTAATAAATCTTTATTTACAATTTCAGTCTATTGTTTTGAATACCAACGTGCTGTCAGTTCTGGTAGTATACATAATTTGAAAAAATTTCTTGCTTTTTCAATGATGCTATTCCACAATGTAAAGTCTCTATAAATCCTCTCAATGTGCAAACTTTTTTCTGTCCAAACTAAAGTCACAATATTCAGCATTACATACATTTATTTATTTATTTAGCGTATGGCTACACATCTAATTGTTAACAAGAACAGAAAGCAGGGACAACTGAGTGACTTTCAGGACAACTGAGTGACTTCTTGATTATGACTGAAAGTGCTTTAAACTATATTTCTAACTTAGATTTACATTTATGATTTGTGTTCTTACTTTTTCTGCATTACATACAAATATTTGTGTTTGCATTTGGTAGTAATATTGCTGCTTTTGTTAATTGTGTGAATACCATTCTCCTTAACTAAATAATTAGACATATTTTCATCAATATTTTGTTGCTGCTGACACCAAGGACATTTCACTTCAACCACTCCTTGCAGTCTACAAGACCATCAGATGAGGCACCAATGAATGGATGAGATGGTAACACATGAAATCCTGTTTCTTTAATAATGAAATTACGATGAAGTTTAGCTTGTTTTTCTTCATATTTCGATCGTGCATGGTTTTCATGATCACATCTCCATTTTACCGAGGGACTTTTGAATCGATGTTCAAATGGGTAACAAATTTTTTTAATCAGTGACTTTGTTGGATTAATTTAATTTTTGTGGCATGCTGCTTTCATATTAGATTCAGTTATGCATCCAGCTCGATACTGATACCAAACTTTCTGTTTGTGTTGCTTTGTTGTCAAGTCACTTATGTTTTTTATCTGGTCTTCTGTAAGTTGCAACTCTTGAAACAGTTTGCAACAGTATTCTTCCAGCTCAGGCCACTCCAGATCAACAAGAGATGGATTAAAAAGATTTCCAAACATCAAAGGAAAAGGTATATCCTCACTTGCAACAAAGCAATCAGAAAATCTAGGTGTAACAGCCAAAATGCAAGCTTGTGGATTACATTTTGTTACATCTGACAAAAATGAATCCAGCTCACTGTCAGTCATAGGTGTTACCTTCATGTTTTTCTTTTTGATTGCACTTTGGTTAGCATTTACATCAGTCATGCGGTTATACTTTGCAACTGATGAACTGAAATCTATTTCCTTTAATGGACGAGGAGCAAGAACTCTTGAATGTGGAGGCAACCACTCATTTACTCTGTCAGTGGATGTTTTTGACTCGCGGATTCTAACACCAACTTCTAAGGCAAACAGTACAGCACCAACATGAGAACATGCCGAAGAGCAACCTGCCATACAATTGCAGTGAGCTGTTATGACTTCTCCAGAAGATTTGCCAAGAATCCACACTTTTAAAGGTGGAATTCTTAAGCTTTGAGAATGACTAACCTGAAAAAATAGACATTGTGTTAAAAAAACATTCTCAAGAATTTAAGAAAATTGTGTCAATTTTTACTAATATGCTAGCATTAGAACATTTATATTAACATTTAATTTTAACATTAATAATATTTACATTAATAAACACTAAGTTATATTTTAAAACATAGAAGAGTTTATTGATTTGCTTATATTAATTTAGGTATAGTGCATTTATAAATGTACTACTAATGTAATTTCAGGCTTTAGCTAGTGCAAACTTATAAACATTACATGTTAAAACTAAAAGCAAGTAGGCTTATTATATGGTAATTTCAACTAGAAAATACAGGTACTGAACAATTTGAATTAAAAAATTGCCACAGCTGTTTTTAATAAGACTTTTTTACTTTCAGACAAAAATTCTTAGTTAAGAAATATGTAAAAACACGAGTTTAAACAAACAAAAGAAAACATACAAGGTACCTTTTCAAGCAATATTACTTTGCTGTTATTCATTACTTTCACCTTTATATAAGGAGAAACCCAGCCACTTGTTAAATAGTTATGGGCCTCTAAAGATTTGTATGCTTTCATTTGTGACAGGGTGTAGAAATTTGTTGTCAAAACCAAATAGTTTATGATGTCACCAAATTCTACTTTCGGCCACAACTCTTGATCTACAACAAAATCTGATAAACTGGCTTCATATGGATCGCCTTGACATAACGAAATTTTCTCTTCGTATATAGCTGCATCTCGTCCTGTTAGACTGCTAGAATAGCCCGCAAGAAAAGAATCTTTTTTAACATTATTCATGATAATAAAACTGCAGTATTTTTGTATGTTTAAACTAAACAAGTGCATCGAACAACAGACCATGTGCAAGCTAAGCATGCTAAAGCTACCACAAAAATGGCGAAGGGGCGGAGCAAATGTACGTTTCATCACGTGACATGCAACTTTGAAACCTCTCTATATGGACAACATGAAACCATCCACCAAATGGTTTAATGTTGCTGATACATACATTTATTTTTAGATTATTTCAATAATTTTAGCAATCATTGATAATCATTTTAGAAAAAAATTGCAATTGTAAATACAATTGTGAAAATTTATATATCAGGAAAAATTATGCTATATGCAGTCAAATAACTTTAATAATTACAAAACAAAACTTTTATAATTTAGAAATTTGCAAATTTAGAATTTGCAATCTATTGGAAGAAAATTGAATTTAAGAATATAATCTTAAAGCATAAAAAATTTTTTTTATTTATGATTTTCTACCTTTATATTAAAACATGTGTATTAAGATATGTACATTAAAAAACAGTCATAGAATATTTAATCAAATTTTAATTTTTAAAATATTTATGAAATATTGCATTATTTACATAAGCAAACAAGCTTTACTTAAAACTGAAGGTTAAATTAATATTATTGATATACTTGTGCAATATTTCATTCAACAAGATTTCATGTACAGTACGGTTTCAAAACCATACTGTACTGTACATAAAATCTTGTATGTAGTTAAATAATTTGTGATAAATAAAAATTGTATTTTTGTTGAAATATATAAGAGCAATGACATGACATTTTATTTTTTATATTGAAAAATGTTAGTAATAAAATTACAGATAAACACACCCTTAATATTTTAGGTTCATGCAATCTTTGGCATCATAGCCAAAGATTGCACTGTAGAATTTGTACTGTTATGTAAAGCACTAAATTTCATAATTTTTTTTATTCTAATAACTTATAGAATATAAAAAGAGAGGAAGTAATGATACATGATTTAAATTGTGAATGTAACAAATTATGCTATTATATACGTGATAGAAAGCAATCAGAAAAAAATATGCAAACGTGAGTGTGTTTCAGATTTATTCAGTGCTAAACTTGCATAAATACTAAATTTCAAATTAATTATTCTGAATGTTTACTGTATTTAATACATACAGTTCACTCTTTTTAGTTTATCAGTATTTTATTTTTTCAATTTTTTTACTATTTAATTGTTTTTGTGGAAGAATTATTCAAGATTTAAAATGTAATTTCCAAAAAATAAAAAAATTTGAGTTTGAAAATCTGAAAGTTATGTGATTTGACAATAACTGTTACTTTCAATGAAAAATCATACATTTAATAATTTATACTTATTGAAGGGTTTTAATATTTATGGGGAAAAATCCATTTATATGTAGTAAGTATTCACTGATGCTTTTTGAGATTGGTGCACTATATCAAGGTTTAACTGTATTTCTTAAAATAATGCTAATTGTTTTATTAAATGTAACTAATCGGCTATTCCAAATAAAATGAGCTAATGTTATTTTTGATAAATTTGATTCTCTAGATGTAACTTCATTGCTATAATCATTATTTTTATTTTATATTTATTGTATGTTATCAATATGTTTTATATAAGCTAAAAATAATATAAATACATTTTTTTTTTTAAATTTAGAATACTTATATTATTTAAAATCATTAAATTTGAGTGGCTGTCCCAAAATTGATGATTGGTGTTTAAGTCGTCTACATATGTTTAAGTCAACTTTAGAACACTTAGATATTAGTAACTGTCCTAATATAACGGAAAGAGGAATTAGCAGTTTGTATATATTGAGGTAAGAAAAATTTTTATAAAGTTTTAATAATGAATTTTTATTCAAATCTTTTTAAGACAATTATTTCAAAGAATTGATACAATAACAGTAATTAACTATAGGTGAGTGCTATATAAAATATTATAAATCAATTATTTTTGCAACTGACTTAAAATTTGGTTTTGCATAATATTTCACAACTGTAGTTATTTTTATAGGTTACTAGCTTACCCGTCGCGCATTGCTGCGATCTCAGAAGAAACGAAATTCAAGCAAACTCGTTATGATAAAATTCAATTTACATTTTATTATTTTTATTGAAACTTATTATTATTATTCATTTTCATCGGGAAAACATTTCAAAGTGTCGTTTCAATTCTATTTATTTATTGGAGTGTTCGTGGATACACGATATTTTTTGTTTTTTCGTCTGGTGCGTACACGAATAATTCGGAAGGTTTTCCGACGCGTGAGCTGGCCACATACAGTTGTCCATGCGAGAAGCACGGATTCTCCAAATTTAGCCCACACACTTGCAGCGATTGTCAAAAGCGCGATATTCCCCATTTATATATATATTTTTAAATCCTTTATAATTTTAATTATTTAATTGCTCCTTCCTCTCTTCCTTGGCATGTTGGGAAATTTCTGATAGTTAGATAATAAACCGTTTTATTGTAATTTGTCTTTTTAAATTATTTCGAGTCGATATTAAAATTTGAAAAAGGGCGATACCTAGATCGGTAAAATAGGCGAATTTCTTCCTACAACTTCGGTCGTTGTTCGGGGTACAGTTAAGATTTTAACGAAGTTCGAGCGAAAACATAATTAGCAAAAAAAGTCGAAATAAAGTGATTAAACAAAAATGATTACAAATATCGTAAATAACAGTTCACAAATGCATATATAGAGACATATATATTTTTGAAGGGGGGAAATGGTCTTCACAATTTGAAATCGATCAAACACACTATGCGCGAATGCTCGTGTAAACGCGCGCCATCTATCGTAGGATAAATGTACTTCGCGGGAGTGTATTAAAAAACTTCCCGAAGTTTCATGGCAATCGTACTATGCCACAAACCTTCGCCGGAGTATATTAAACAACTTCCCAAAGTTTCATGGCAATCGGATAAACGGTGTGGTAATGCATGAAGGACATAGGACACACAGACACACAGACAGACATACATTCATTTTTATATATATAGATGAAAGATTTATATTTATTCTCTAAGAAATTAAAGATAACTGGCTATTGGAAAGATATTCCAAATTAAATTTTTTTTAAGTTTTAACCAATAACAACTACTATTTTCATGAAACTAAATTTTAATTTTATGAACGGAAATATTTAAAAACTAAATTATTTAATTATTTTTTATTATCTTACACAAAACCAAATTATTTTAATATTTTGTAATAAAAATGAAGCATTTCCATTTTCAGAATAGTAATGACAGAACAATAACTTAAATTAATTTGAATATTACTTTTTACAATTAATAAAGATAATTTCTAATATTTGCAAATGTATATAAAATAATATAATATAAAGTTTTACTTTTATTGTGTTAAGTAAATATAATTTACATTAAAACATTTATAATAACTATTTTATTTTTTTTAATGTTCAGAATTAAATGCTTAGAAAAATTATCATTAAATCAAACCACACATTACACAATTCATAAGAATTGTGCTTGTTTATTAACAATTGTACAAAGTCTATTTAAATATCAATAGATATAAATTTGTTTTATTATTTCAAGTTATTAATTAATATATACATGAACATCAACATTTAATAGGGCTATTCACAAAGGAAATCTCTTCTCTTTTAGAAGAGCTGTGTTCTACAAAAGCTATGAACCATGAACATATGAACATACATTCTGACAAATGATTTGCAATCTTTGTTTCTTTTCTTTCTGCCATATTTTAAATCATGAAATGACTGGCACTCTGTTAGCAAGCTTCAATTGGTGAATGTTGCTCTGAGAAAGCTTTCCATTAAGCTATTGGTTTTTGTCGTAGAACCTGTACTAATTAAACAAGATTGGGAAAAGTGGAAAAGTGATGCTTTTGTTACTTTTAAGAAAGTTAAGTAAACCAGTATAGCAAGAAAAGTTGCAGATTATAATTATACCTAATATATCTGTTATAAATTTTTGTTTGAAATATTTGAAATATTGAAATTTTTTAATAACTTATTTTATTTCCTAATTATCTTTATAGTAACAATATTAATTGTCTTAACGATAATTTGAGTTAAATATATAATCAGATTACAAAATCTAAATCACTAAAATTTGTTTTATGTTTTAACATTATGGTTAACTATTTTTCTAAATTGAGCTTCATAGTGTCTACAAGTTTTCTCCCAGTTATCAACATACCATACGTATTCTAAAGGAAGGCTAACAGTCAAAGGAGAAGTCTGCTTTGACTATCAGGTGTCCTATTAT